ACTATGGATCTAACAAACCCAGGAAGCGATACTGTCGTCACTCTACCTCGAAATAGTCCTTTTCTTCCACTCAAACCAGTGTTAATTGATTCATAACTTTGAGTAAGGGGTAGATTGCGTCGATCGTGTCTCACCGATCTTAATAAGCATCCCATCATCTTGCAACCGGGTGATCACTTTATTAACCTTATAATACGTGAATATCATCTTCTCACGCTTCATGGAGGTACACAACTCACTCTTACTACATTGAGACAGAAGTTTTGGGTGCTTCAAGGTAGGCAATCTGTTCGTTCTATCGTTCCTCGCTGTTTTACGTGCCGTAGCTACTCGGCCCCTAGTCTCAGTCAACAGATGGCTGACCTTCCTGAAGCCCGAGTCGTTCCTGCTCCCTCGTTTTCTCGATGTGGCGTGGATTATGCTGGTCAATTTCCTGTTAGGTTGTTTAAGACGAGAGGGAGAGGGACTCTTAAGGGATATATAGCCTTATTTAAGTGTGGTTCAACTCGCGCTGTATACCTCGAACTTGTTGAGAGTTATGATACAGAGAGTTTTATCGCTGCGTTGAGTAGATTCACCACTAGGCGAGGCCAATGTTCTGAAATATTTAGTGATCAAGGCAGTAACTTCATTGGCGCGTCCAAAGAGCTAATTGAGAAAGTTATGGTAATGGTCAAATCCGAACCATTTCTAAAAGATTTAGCTCGTCGTGGTACTAGATGGATCCTTAATCCTCTGGCTGCCCCTCACTTCGGTGGATTTTGGGAGTCTGATATCGAGTCGTTCAAGCATCATTTGAAATGATTTATAGGTAGTCAAATTTTCACTGTCATAGAGTATTCCACCTTGCTCTGTCAAGTAGAAGCATGTCTCAACTCTAGGCCCATTACTCCCTTGACTGACTTCCCCGAAGATCTCCTACCCCTTACTCCTGCGCATTTTCTTATTATGCGAACTTTGTTCCTCTCAATTGAGCCTGATTTAACCGACACAAAAATCTCTAGCCTTCACCAGTGGAAACTACTAACTCAAATGGTTCAACAGTTCTGGCGGCGTGGCGGCGGTGGTCTTCCGAGTACTTATAACAATTATTGACTTGAACTAAATGGTGTCAGCCTCACAGATCATTAATGGTAGGTGATCGTGTACTTGTTAAAAAGGAAGATAGTCCTCCAGGCCATTGGCCGTTAGCTCGACTTGCGGAGGTGCTTCCTGGCAGAGATGATTTGGTTCGCGTTGTTAAACTTCACCTAGCCCTTGCAACTCTTGAACGACCAGTGACTAAACTTATTCTCTTGCGTGCGAATAATGAATAATATGTAAAAGAGAAGGCGCTCTCTTATCGTAGTACGTAAGCCTTTATTTAAAGAGTTGGTGAATTTGCGTTTAATTTAATCAATTATAAAACTAGCGATCCATTGTTGTTTATTTTACTTTATATTCCTTTGAGCTTTATTGTAATGGTTAAAATTTCTTACTTATGTTTGAGCAATTTCTGTAGTTTAAATCAAAGACTTTTAACTTTTCTTGTTGCTCCCCCTTCGGTTTAGCAAAATCAGGGAGAATGTTGAATATTAGAGTACATTCGCGATCGTAAGCTTATGTAAAGTATTCCGCTGAATACTGCTCACGAGTAAGAGAGAATAAGATGATATGTATAAACTTGTGTAAATGTATGTGCGCGTGCGCATGTAAGACTTCTTCTGGGCTCTTGCGCTCCGAGAGCCAGTTCACGTCTGCTCGCTAAGCGATCCGCATCGCTATGAGTCGCTTTAGTTTCCCTTTGATAACTTTTTCATAAATTCTAAGCATTTCAAATTTTTTTTATAAGTGTAAAGAGGAGTTCATTATTATTAAATAAATTTGTTTCGTTAAACTTTGTGTTCAGTGTTTTAATAAAGTGAGAAACGACTTGGTCATTGTTACAAACTTTCTTAACTTTCCTCTCTCCCTTGCTACTTATAAGGCGGTAATTAAAATCAAAATCATACAGTCCATTCACTAAAGTCCCTATCTTTAACAGTTAATAATTCCTAATAAAGCTTTAGAAATAGTAGATTAAAAATTTAAAGCTTTGTGTGATAATCATTTACCTTTTTCAGGAAAAACTATTTTATTAGGCGAAGATTTTAGACAAACCTAACCAGTTTAAAAGAATATCTTTAGATCTGTTTTCATAAATGAAACAATAGAATACTTTCATTCATGAAAATAGTCGATTATTTTTGTGTTAAAAAAATTAAAGATTAGAGAATAAATATTTTTCTTTGTTTTTATTAGATATAGGAGGAAGTAAAATTTCTTTCTGCTATATTTTCCCAGAAACCAAGTGATTGTAACATTTCCTAACAAATACTCTCAATTATTGAATAATAAAATACTGAAAACAGTATGAAAGGAGCTGCCACGTCATACTACTGTATTGATTATGCAACAGAAAAAGGAACAGATAAATCTGACGAAAACATTAAGTTAAACTTTTACTTATAAGTTTTAAATGCAATTTATGAAGGCTTATCACTTCATGAGTTAAATAAAAATGAATTCAAAAGTAATGTTGACCAGAAATTAACGTATAATAGATGGATTATGTGATAGAACTCGTTTACGCATAACAATACTATTGAAGTTTAATTATTAAACTGAAATCATTGCAGGTGACAAGAAAGAACAAATAGTATTAATACCTATAATCCCTTTAAAAACCAGGTATCATTTTAAAAACCAGGGTCATGGAACCCACGGTAAGAACGGAGTTCCTTAAACATAAGATAAGTATAAGTAAATACAATTTTTCAGGTAACAAGGCGGTCACGAGACCCATAAGGAAAACACAGCTCTATAAAAAGAAGTACTGCATTCCTGTAGTTTAGTAAAACAAAAACTTAAAAAACGATTAAAAAAAAAAAAAAATTAGCTTAGCACTCGTGGTGGTTGAACTTCGTGAGTACTGTATTCATGCATGAAGTTATCACGAAGTTCAACTATCGTGAGTACTGAACTAATTTTTTATACCCATTTATACCTCCTCTTTTTTCTTAATTAAAACTAAAGTTTAATTTTTTAAATTCGATGAAGTAAGGTTAGGTATTGGTAACAGTAAACAATAAATTGTTGATGATGGGACGCTTAGAGCCACATTTTTCTCCTTGAATTGCTAACTAGTATTGTTTATTTCATGATCCAAAGCTCTTAAACGTTATGAGCAGGTAATACGATGAACTTAAATTGTTGTGCCAAAGAGCTTAGTCTGCCAGTCTGCAGACTGCCAGACTCTATGTAATCTTACCCTAAGAGCATGACGAGCTATAGATTAAAAAATTTACTACTAAATATCTGTTTTTTCAAAAACTAGCCAACAATGTTAAAATGACGTAATAAAAAGGAAAAAGGTGTGAGTAATCTCTTTTTATAAACATGTTATTAATGCTCAGTACGGTTAGTGAGTAAAATTCAGAGAGATTGTATCAGTGCAACCATGCAGGACTGCTAGGGTTCTATCATGGTTAATAAGCTTTTAAGACGTATTTCCTGATTTTTGTAAGTATATGAAGATGACTTAATTTACCTACTGCACATGTGCAAACGATAAGAAAAATTAAAATATTTTTAACGTCCAAAAAAGCCAACTTTCGTGTATCTTGACAGGGTCTTTGGTAATTTTTTTTCTCTTATGAATATACATTTATGAATATATTAAAATTTTCTAATAAAGCAATTTGATTTTCGGTCAGAAAAATCTTTTTGAGCAAGTACCTCTCTGAGTTTTCACATATGCTTTTTCATCACGCAATATCCCTCGTCCATAATATTGGGGACTTTCTTGCATCGAAGTTGCCTTTTTTTTACCCAATTTACCTTCTGGCAACAAGAAACCCAACGTTCTACTGCTAAAAAGAATCAGCTGATTTCTGATGACAAATCGTCAGCTGATTTTTTGACTGTGCGAAAAAATACAAGTCCCATCAGTGTGAAAAAATACAAGTCCTGTGGGAAATTTTTTTTTTTCGTCCATCATGAAAACTATGCATTCTGGAACTTATACAGTAAAACGGAATAAGTGAATTTTAATAATTTTTCGATAGCCAAAATTACAAGTTCCGTACCCTGGAATAGTATAAGTCTCCTCAGTGTGACGTAATTCAAGTTCCGACGAAAAAAACTTTTCTTTTGTCATCATCCAAACAATACATTTTGGGATATTTACAGTAGAATGAGATAGGTGAAAATTAAGAGGTTTGGAAACTTTTCGATAGCACAAATTACAAGTTCCATGCACTGAAAAAAGTTGAAGTCCCGTCAGTGCGAAAAAATACAACTCCTGAAGAAAAAAAATTATGTTTACGAACATCAAAAATCTGCTTTTAGGGACATTTAGAGTAGAATGATACAGGTAACAATTAGGAGATTTGAAAAATTTTTGATAGCAAAAATTTTAAGTTCCGTGCGCTGAAAGCAACTAACTTCCATCATCGTGAAAAAAAAAAAGTGCAGACGAAAACTTTTTTTTGCCATTATCGAAACTATACGTTCTGGGACATTTACAGTATAATGTGATATATGAAAATTGAGAGGTTTAAAAAATTTTCGGTAAAATAACAAGTTCCGTGCACTGCAAAAGGCTTAAGGTAGTTATAGCCCAAACGCAAATAATAATGAGATCTTCATGAAACTTACCACACAGATCAATTATTGCCTATTAAGAACTTGGTTAAATTTTTGTAAAGCTAGGGTTCCTAGAAAGCAAAATTTTTATTTTCACTGTTTTCATACTTTCACATGGATCCTTACGCAGAAATATATTTTTTTGGGCTTCAATTGCGTATATCCCACAAAATAATGGTAATCTTTTGACAATATTTTCTTTGTTTATTTTAAAAATGGCTAATGATCTTATTTAATCTTATAAAACATCTCGAGGGTGTCTGTGAGATAAGAAATGAATTATTTAGTACAGAAAAAGCTGCTGAGGATTATGTTTTAGCATAAGTGTGAGAAGGATGGATGACATACCAAGCTATGGAATCTGCTGCATTGACAATATCGTAGGAGACAACTACCACAAGTCCCATCAGTGTGATAAAATACTAGTCCCAACGGACAAATTTTTTTTGTCCATTAAAACAATGCGTTTTGGGGCATTAACAGTCAAATAAAACAGGTGATAATTAGGAGGTTCAGAAAATTTTCGATAGCAAAAATTAAAAGTTTCGTGCGCTAAAAAAAGTTTAAGTCTCTTCAGTGCCAAAAAATACAAGTTCCAAAAAAAAAAAAGAATGCATTTCGGAACATCAAAAGTCTGTATTTTGGGACATTTACAATAGAATGTGCCAGATAAAAATTTTTTAAATCTCTTAATTTTCACCCATCCCATTTTACTGTGAATGTTCCAAAACGCATTGTTTGGATGATAGCAAAAGAAAAAAAATTTCCATCGGGACTTGTATTTTGTCACACCGACGGGACCTCTAATTTTTCAGCGCACAGAACTTGTAATTTTGGCTATCAAAAATTTTTTTACACTCACAATCGTAATCTGTATCATTCTACTGTAAAAGTCCCAGAATGCATAGTATTGAATTGATGATGGCCAAGAAAAAATTTTCCCTCGGGACTTGTATTTTTTTGCACTGATGAGACTTGTATTTTTTCGCACAGTCAAGAAATCAGCTGACGATTTGGCATCAGAAATCAGCTGATTTATCAGCTGACAAATCAGTTGATTATTTTTAGCAGTGGATCCTTTTCTCTTTCGCTTTCCAAGCGATCAGATCCCACTGTAGAGCCATAATCCAGAGCTGGATAAATAGCACTATAAAGAAGTATATACATATGTTTGTGTAGAAGTATGTGTGCGTGCGTATGCTTGCGTAGAATTGACCTTTTCTTACCTAATTTATTGACAAAATAACTAACATACCTATCTAAAATGAAATTAACAAAGAGTATTTTACCACAAAACGAATTTAAAGATTTCTGTAGATAATTTTCTTATAAATGCAATTTTTNTGAAGTCAGTTTGTAAACTCATTATATCTCTTTTAGTGTATATTTATATATAATAATATTCATACTTAACATCTATAAAGATGATGCAACCGTGCGAAAGTCTTCTGTTAAGGTGCTCTTGGGAAGGAAAAACGTATGACTGCAAAAATATTTTTAGACCCATAAAATCTGTCGAAGGGTTTTGTTGTGCTTTTAACTATCATGTTAATGTTTCCATGAACTCTACGTAAGCTAAAACATAATAAGGTAAGATAAAAGTAATTGACGTTAAATCTAATGAAATTGAAACATAATTTTGCAGATTTGGAATACACATGTTAAAAAATAATTCATTTATAAAATCACCAGAAGCCAAAAATATTGTAAAAGACAAACCTGTTGTTCATCGAGTAATGGTGGGTCATAATTTTTTACGTAAAGTAATTAAATTACATTTTTCACACTAAAGTAAAGTTAAATTATTATTATAGAGTGTACCAGGAGCTGGAAGAGACGTTGGTCTTTCTGTTGTTCTGAATCTTGAAGAAAATACATATATGGGGTCAATTAGACCCAGCTTGGGAGCTTCTATCCTCGTTCACGATCCCTTTACATATCCAGAAGTTGAACTTCTTACTAGTTTTATACAACCGACTCAAGAAACTGCCATGATTTTATCCGCTTCAATAATGGTGAGCTCAGAGTCTGTAAGAAGTCTAAGTAATTCGCAACGTAATTGTTGGTTTACTGATGAGGTAAATATTTTGGTTACGTTTGTCTATCCTAAGCATATTTTTTATCGTAAGCTACAAGTATTCAAAAATGTTTGTAGAAACAGCTTAGCACGAGTTCGATCTACAGTTATCAATCCTGCATTACAGAGTGCAGAATAAAGTACATACAAAGATATTGTGACTGTGTACCATTTTACTACCCGAACTTTAGTAAGTTTTTAGAAGTGAAGTGATAAAAAAAATGTTGTTGTTTCTACTTAGATTTTTCAGAAGGCTTTTTTTTAAATTATAGATAACGATAGAGTTTGCAACCTGCCAGACATCGAATGCCTTCTAAAGTATCGTGGTAGGTAGAATATAACTTGTGCTTATTACATCGTTTCAATTAAGAAAATATTTAACACATTACTTGATCAATAAATAATAATTAAAAAACTGCAAAAGCACCATACATAAGAGTTAACAAAGATTTTTCTTAGAATGTTGTGGCATACTGTTCGAACAACAAAAATGTAAATATATACCATCAACATCATACCAATCATAATAAGAAATCACATAAAGTACATTTAAAAAAATCTTAGTGTTCACATGTATTTTTACCAGAATTACGTATAGTATTGTTGAGATGGGAATGAACGCAGATCTTTTACGTAGGATCAGCATTCAAAAATGTAACACTAATAATTTTCTACTATGGATGAAACTTTAAAAATTGATAGAGAAAAATTGTTTAATTATTCTTTAACGCTCTTAATATTAATAACTGCATACACAGATATAATCTTAGAATTATAACTGTGGTATCAAAATACAGCAAAAAAGCTATTTTTTACTTCCGAGCCAAAAGTAACTGTTCTTACAAGTTTTTTAAAAATAATCATAAAACTCAGGGGCAAAACCAGTAAATACGTTGGTTAAATATTTTTAAAATAGTTATGGTTATTTAAAAATTTGTTTTTCTTGTAATACATTTTTGAGATCGGTTAGACCCAGCTTAGGGGCTTCTATGCTTACTTGAAATCCCTTTATACATATCCAGAAGTTTAACTTCTTACTAGATCTTTACAACCATCTCAAGAAACAGTCATGATCTTATCTGCTTCAACCATTGTAAGCCCAGAGTCTGTAAGAAGTCGAAGTAATTTGCAACATAAATATTGGTTCGCTGATGGTGTACCTATTATATTTAAGTTTTTTCATCACAAGCCTATGTTTCAATATAAGTTAGAAGTACAAAAGAATTTTTGCTAAAACGAGAAACCACGAGCTTGACCTACAGTTCCCAATCTTGTAAAAGATATTGTGATTGTGTACTATTCTACTACCTACACGTTAATAAGTTTTGGGATGTTAGATGATAGAAAAAATATTTGTTGTTTTTTAACCGAATTAATTTTACATTAATATCAATTAATGAGCTAATATCATTTCAAATTCAATTCGTTGTTCAAGTGTCACTAGTATTATGTTGTTCTTAATAAGAAATGCTATTGGAGGAACATTTAAGTAGAATTGGATGGTTCAGACCGCTTTAGTTACTGTTTACTCAATACGGTTCAACAGAATTTGTAAAAATTCAGCAAATACCGTAAAGAAATTAACTATTTGTAGATACCTTGGCATTTTCTCTTGTCTTAATGACAAAACTCATCGACAAGTCGATGACAATTTTTGTCATAAAGATGTGTACACAATTCTACAAATTTACTTTTAGTTAAAAAGGTTGCAGGGTTTTAACTTAATAATTGATTTATCTTGCGGTGGTCAGAGAGAATAAACCAATAGTTATCGTACATTCGTTGGTAGAACACACATTATTAATTATGAAGGGAGGCGCATAAGCAAGAATGTTTGTATTTAGAGATGGGTGTTATTAAAAAGGCATGAAAGGTATGTAAGCTGTCGGTCGTTACCTTGGACTAAAATAAATTAAGCTCGAAGGTCGTAAGGTAACAATTTAAATTAGATGTGTGGCATTCGTTGGTTACTATAGTCTCATCAAGTCTTCGAGTAGTAAAGTATTTTCTTAGACGACGATGACATACAAGCATGGTTTTAAGGAAGAAAGTAAGATGAAGTTTGTAAAATTTTTTTCGAGTACCTCATAAATTTCTAATTTTTGAACCGTAAACTGTGTAGCTCGAAGGGCAGGAAAGTTTTGGAAATCTCTGCTCCGTCAGTACTGTGAAAACACATCGTTACACGGATTCCGGTATGTTGTTTCTAATGAAACGACGTTTGTCGAAAAAATTCTTTGGCTTGTGGTAATAGTGTATTACGTTCATAACTTAAAAAATTTTTAACATAATAGTGAGAAATTATCAAAGCTCTTTTTTTTAATTATATTGCATTAAAACAGGTTTGCGTTCTTGGCTTTTTCATAGCTTTACTTCTTATGTTATTTGTGTGGCAAAAATTTCGAAGGACACCTACCGTTACAACTATTGATACCACTACTTACCCAATTTTCAACCTTGCCTTTCCTGCAGTATCTATTTGTAATTATAATAAGGTCTACAAGCCCCATGCTGAAAAATTTTCTAAAAGAATGTAAGCCTAATCTTAATTTCTTGAATCAAAAAGTGTTAGCTGGTTACTCCGATTTAATGTACCATTATTATAATTTAAAAAAACAATTATCCTTATGCAGGAAACAAAAAGGGTTAAATAATACAGAAATACTCAACTTTTTTACCTCATTGCCTCAACTAGTTAGACCAAATTTGTTGAAATTAGATAATAAAAGAGCTCTTGAATTCTTAGCATTAGAAGGAATATCCATCGAAGACGTCATGTATGAAGTCAGTTTGTAAACTCATTATATCTCTTTTAGTGTATATTTATATATAATAATATTCATACTTAACATCTATAAAGATGATGCAACCGTGCGAAAGTCTTCTGTTAAGGTGCTCTTGGGAAGGAAAAACGTATGACTGCAAAAATATTTTTAGACCCATAAAATCTGTCGAAGGGTTTTGTTGTGCTTTTAACTATCATGTTAATGTTTCCATGAACTCTACGTAAGCTAAAACATAATAAGGTAAGATAAAAGTAATTGACGTTAAATCTAATGAAATTGAAACATAATTTTGCAGATTTGGAATACACATGTTAAAAAATAATTCATTTATAAAATCACCAGAAGCCAAAAATATTGTAAAAGACAAACCTGTTGTTCATCGAGTAATGGTGGGTCATAATTTTTTACGTAAAGTAATTAAATTACATTTTTCACACTAAAGTAAAGTTAAATTATTATTATAGAGTGTACCAGGAGCTGGAAGAGACGTTGGTCTTTCTGTTGTTCTGAATCTTGAAGAAAATACATATATGGGGTCAATTAGACCCAGCTTGGGAGCTTCTATCCTCGTTCACGATCCCTTTACATATCCAGAAGTTGAACTTCTTACTAGTTTTATACAACCGACTCAAGAAACTGCCATGATTTTATCCGCTTCAATAATGGTGAGCTCAGAGTCTGTAAGAAGTCTAAGTAATTCGCAACGTAATTGTTGGTTTACTGATGAGGTAAATATTTTGGTTACGTTTGTCTATCCTAAGCATATTTTTTATCGTAAGCTACAAGTATTCAAAAATGTTTGTAGAAACAGCTTAGCACGAGTTCGATCTACAGTTATCAATCCTGCATTACAGAGTGCAGAATAAAGTACATACAAAGATATTGTGACTGTGTACCATTTTACTACCCGAACTTTAGTAAGTTTTTAGAAGTGAAGTGATAAAAAAAATGTTGTTGTTTCTACTTAGATTTTTCAGAAGGCTTTTTTTTAAATTATAGATAACGATAGAGTTTGCAACCTGCCAGACATCGAATGCCTTCTAAAGTATCGTGGTAGGTAGAATATATGTATAATTAATCTCCAGTAGTATTCATGAATATATGGGTCATTTTTCTAAAAACGGTCTATCTCTTGTCCCAGTGAATAAAAACCGTTAGTGTAGAAGTCTGGATCTAATTTTTTTTTTAAATTATTTAATGAGTTTTTTTTCTAAAGCAACAAGAGAACTTAGATCATAACTAGGTATTGCTTAAGTAATGTTTGAAAAAAAGGTTAAAAAAAGCATCTTACAATCTACTAAGATTTAGTGAGCTGCAAGATTTGCTTTTTTTATCACCATCTGTCAATGCTACAGGCTAATAAATGTGTATGACCTGTTTTCCTCTCATGACAGCTAAGAGTTTGTTACGCTAAATAATGCAACATATCCTTGCAGAGATTTTGATTATCGACTTGGAGTGATTGGTTTGAGTATAAGTAAAATATAGAATTTATATATATATATATGTGTGTGTGTGTGTGTGTGTGTGTGTGTGTGTGTTCATATATATCTGCTAAGTGCCCTAAGTAGTGCCCCTTATAGGAGCTGAACGTAAAGCACTATTTTATCTATATATATACACATTAAATTTTGATTTCTTGCGTCAGTCTCTTAAAAAACATAAGATTAACTTTTTTTATGGTCTTTGTTGATTTGAGCCCTTGAAATGTTACGTTTTCCATAGAATAACCCATATTATTGTATGTCTACATATTTTTATACAATTTCTGATGTATATCACACATTAAAAAAAAAATTGTTCATTATATTTTCATTACTTTTGCAAATATTTTATTCTTTATTGAATTAAAAAACACATAAACATACAAAATCAAACAGTTATTTTTTCCCAAGTTTCACATTATTTTTCTAACAATTTTAAAAGGCACACCCTCATGATGAGACTTATTTTTTGGCAATTATATGTTACATAAGAAAAAAATCATAAGTACAGGTTTTAGTAGCAGTGACACTGTTTTTCTATGATTTACATGCAACCTTTATTCAACTTTCATATGTATAAAGACAGAACGCTCTTTTCTATGTTTGTAAAAATGTCAAAAACGATTGAACCAATTGATCTCAAATTTCGACAAAAGATTGATTGCAAGTTTTTATGTATCATAGGCTAAAAAGGGTTTTACTGCCTCTGTGTAGCCAAATGAAACATTTCTTCTTAAATACCTTAGATTATGCTCAACCTTACGGTGTTCTTATTCATTTTTCTAATTAATCAAAATCTTGAGAAATTTATGCTTGAAAGTTGCAATTTTAAGTATAGAGTGGTTAACGCAGACATACAAAGATTCACTATTTGCAACCTTTAATTGAAGTGTCAGGTAACTTAAGTATACAGTATTGTAGATTGAAATCTTATCATTCAAGTGCTGTTGAAAAAATAAGGGCAAATAGACTATAAATTCAAATTATTTTCGAAAAACGACAATTAATGTATGCAGCCTTGAGTGTCATATTTTTTTACAAGTCACCTTGTGTCCACTGTGTTACAGCACTGACTAAACTATTTATTAACGTATGTTGGTGTTCTTGCAGACTTTCTCAGTAATTTAATCTTAAAATTTGGACTGGCCCTCTTACACAAAGAAGCCTCTTTAAAATAAGAGTAACTTGGATAAACAATTTTTACGCTACTACCAAAAAACTTATCGCAAAGCAGCTCCAGAAGAACGTTTTTTCTTTCTGACGCTAAAGGGCAAGTGGTTATATTTTTTTATGTTACTTAAAGTCTAGTAAGTCTCACCTAAGGTCAACTTTATGACGTTATGTTTATAAATAAGAGTTCAATCCCATGTAAATCATTTGCATTAGAAATCAAAGGAGATTAGATGCAGGTTTGATGTATGGTGATGCAAAATTTTAATAAATTTTCTTGAGCATTGAAATGAACTGTAAAAAATTGGTATAATTTTCTGATGATAGAAAAATGATACGTTTTGATTGTCTATTCACAAAAAATTCTAAAATTATTTATTCAGTTTCTATTGATTTGGTAGAAGATTAATTATTGTACAATATCTGAATATGCTTATTTGCCATGGACTATAATAAGTAGTAATAACGTCGTTATCGCTAGACACCTTGAAAACGTTTATTACAATTAAAAAGGAAATGGAGAGAGTGTAGTGAGGGAGAAGTGATCGTGTGGGAGCGCTGGCAACAGTTTTGCATGCATTTGTATATTCATATACTGGCGTCTGACACTAGTTTTTTTTTATTTAATTAAAAAATACCCTACTAATTTCTCTTAAAATTGAATCAAATACCAGTATTATAGTATTGCGTAATGCGAAAAAATTGGACCTATTCTCTGAACCATTTTTTCATGAACTCCATTCTTATGTCACTTTTTTATAAGTTTACATATTATATTAAGGTAGCTCCAGCACCTAGTGCCATATCAAAATGGGGAGACTAAAAATTAATCATTATTTTCTTTAAAATATGGTATAAAATTATCGTAGAGACTGTTGTAAGCCATATTCTACATTTCATCTGTTACTTTAGTGAGTTAATATAAAAAAACAAAAAAGTTTTATGGTGCCCTAATTGATGAACTGTTACGGTACGCTCCTAAGTTCAAGAGTAGTTATACCTATATATATGTACTCTGCAGATTGCAGATAGCTGAGAGCTGACTTACACTCGCAACAGTATACTTAGTCTCCGATTATTTAAAGAATTTGTTCAATAACAAGACACTTTTCTTATGTCATTGAAAACTGCGTAATAATATATACAATATAGTATATTTTTTACACCTTAAGGGTTATTTATATAAGTGCAGCAGTAGGTTGTATATCGCGTAAACTTGCATTTCCTATCTAACCCGTCTTAAAACTACGATTTTGTAAGCATGATTTCTTACAATTTTCATCGTCAACCTTAATTTTTTTTTATACGAATAGAAAGATGGGAATTCAAAGAATATAATTCAATTTTATTAACCTCGGTTGGGTTATTTATAATTTTAACATTGAGGCTACTGGAGCCACCTTAAATATTGTAAAGACAACGTTATAAAACGGTCTTAAACTTCTTTCACACGTGACTTTCTAAAACCATCAAAAATATCCTGTTAAAATTTTTGGAAGATTTCACTTGAACTGCTATGTGCAAAAAACGTTCTTTAGTTAAAGTAGTAAATCGAACCTATTAAAATTTCCGTCGTAAAAAAATTTGCGACTCAATTTCCTTTAGCAATTGGCGACAGTTTATTCATATATGTAATCTGAACAGTAGTTTTTTTAAACATACTCGTTATTAAATTTTATTTGTGTTATAATTAAGACTTACAACTCAAAATTAATTAAAATAACCAAAGCAAAGCCTTACACATTTGCTGTTAATAATGTTAGTTACTATACTGGCTTATTAAAATTTTATTTTTTCACTTAACAATTCATGTGTACCGTAATTAATAGTAATTATAAGCTGTCAACTGTGATTTAGCTTTAAAATCAGTTCACTGACGTTTTACTAAAACATTAAACTTTAACTACTACTATGTTTGACAGTATTTTTTATCCTTAGTATAGGGTCCATAAGACTACAAAACTAGGAAAACGTAGTTGCCAGATTTGTCTGTGGCGCATTAGGCTATACGTCGTTTACTTAACGAATAGTATTTAACACACGCTTCCTTAAATCTGTTTAAGATTTTTCTCTGTGTGTTGGGTTTAATTTTTATGGTAAGAGATTGTTGTCAAGTTCATTGTTGAACACAAATGATAGTGCATTATAAACAGGTATAAGATTTTACAATAAAGTAATCAGCACATCAAACATCAATTAACAGAAAGTGGGTAAAGCGACGGGATATACCTTGTTGCAGATTCACAAATTATTAAAAATGCATGAAAATGTTATGAAAAAACTATTTCCAAGTACAAATGAGAGGAAAAGTTATAATCATCACTTTATTTAGAGTGTGTGCAGCTGTCCGGGAATGCTAGTATCTTTACATGAAGAGCGTGGTAGCTCAGTCAGCTAGGTTATGGGCTGGCTCGCGGGAGACTGTGGTTGAATTCCTGGCCAGTGTGAGTTTTTCGAGCAAGTACCTCTGTTAATTTTTACATGTATGCCACTGTTGCATCACGGTCCACTGCTCCTCGGAAAAGGAATAGGAGACCATCTCACAGAATAATTGCTTAATTTTTCCTTACCTCAACCTTCCTATAATGGGAGGCCACCTTTATCTTTTTTTGTTCTTTTCTAAAGTATAGAATATCCTCAGTTACGGACCTTGTGTACCTGGACGTATGAAACTATAATATAAAAACAAAAAATTCATGCATGTGATATGTGTGGATGCAGTAACTGAATGTAAATGGGGAAAAAAAGATTTTACTTCTACTAAAACCTGTATTTATGATTATTCTTTTATAGTACATCCTATTGCAAGCAAAGTAAGCCGTGTCTGGAGTGCGTGCACCAAAAAAAAATGTTAATTAAAAAACTGGTGGTGAAGGGTCTGTTGGAAAAGAGTTTCTATTGCTTTTTGGTAGAAGTTGGCCCATAGCCATAATAGTTTATATTATAAAAAAGCGTTATGCTTGATACAAAAATATATTTGTTAATATAATACAAAAAAAAGTGTGAGGATCAACGGATAAACTGTCACTCCACAGTTAGTACAACAAAGCGCAGTCCAGGGAGAAGCTAGTAGCTGAGTATGACCAAAAAAAACTGAAATCAAACGAGCCAGCAAGTTTTCGGTACGTATACGTACCGAAAACTTGCTGGCTCGTTTGATTTCAGTGATATGTTTAATTTATATTCATCTGTTACTGTAGAAAAAAGTGTTGAAAAAAACACTTTTTAAGCAAGAATCTCTTTACAATTAAGGAGACCTTATATTTAAAACTATTTTAGTATCAAAAAATACTTAACCAACTAAGCACATAAAATTTTAATACAAACCAATTTATTGGAGTACAAATATGAACTTAAAAGTTAAATACAGAGTTTTGAAGCATTAGTTTTAATAGGCAG